GGTTTAGGGTTTAGGGTTTCGTATGTCGGGTCAGGGGTTTAAGGGATTTGGAAGGGGTCTGGCTAGGTTTCTAAGTTCAGGCGGCTGATGTTCCGGGGCCTCCGAACGGCTTTGATCCGTACACTTGGCACTGTTGATTCCTATTCCGCCCCGCGGCAGCAACCCCTAGCCCTGACCCAACAGCTAAAACCACACACTCCAAACCTTAAATCCTGCAGTCAACCAGACGCCGAACTCTACACGAATGGCCCAACACCTAGCATCTCAAACCCTAAAGTCCACGATGCCTAAATGCGAAACTCCTCGCCCCCGTGAGCTGTGCGCCACAAGCCTTTAATGGAGAGACCCGGAGCCCAAAAAAGATGCTTGAACAGTTTGCATTGTAGTCCGTCCCTATCCAATTAATACTATATAATATAACCCAAAACACGACTAATCGTTCAGCCCCCCCCCCCCCCCCCCCGCCCGGTTTACCCGCAAGCCTGGAGATTTGAAGCCCTGGGCCCTGAAGAGCAAAACCAGGCCGTCAAGGACTACCAAATCACGGGAGAAGCGCTGCTATTTTTTGATTTTATGTGCCTCGACTGCTGTTGGGGTTGAGGGTTTGGGGTGTTGGGGAATCTAAGGCTTTACGGGTGTTAGGTTAGTGTCCAGGGTTGAGGAGTTTAGAGGTTTAGGNNGTTTAGGAGTTAAGGGTTTAGGGTTCAGGGTTTCGTTTCCGGGCTTAGGGTTTCCTCCCCTCCCAGGGCTCGGTGTTTCGCGCTTGCTCTCAAGTAGTTTCTCAGCGACCCCAAACAAAGTAGCAGAAATGGAAATTGCGAGTGCAAACGATAGTGTGGCTAGCGACAGTGATACTGATGCCATGGGGATACTTTGGAACAGGAAACTGCGAAAAGTATCAGCAAACAGCTATAGCAGCCTTTGGTTGTTCTTGCTGAATGCCAGAGCCAACGTCATGATGCAACAGCAACTAGTATTAATCAACACTCACCCATGAATATTGTACCAACAAAATAAGAGTAGTTGTTACCAAGCAACAAGAGTCAGTTGGTAGTACCAAGCACTGGTGATCCGTTCCTAGTGGCTGATTGAGTGGATAGCAGTGACAGTTGTAACGTGAGAATGGATGAGTACTGCCTCGCAACTGAAACCGCTGACAGCAGCTTCGCATATTTGTAGGTATCAGTATACCAAATGCTCAGAACCCACAGTAGCCAGCAAATGTGAGCTGTAAGTCATTCGAATGGATACCCCGGTAGAAACTAGAAACAGGAGGTGCAGCGCAATAAAAGTGATGCTGGAGGTGTTGAGAGAAATAGCAGGACAAGTTCTATGTACAAGTAGTATTGACCCTAGCAATAGTACCAGTACCAATAGCAACACCTGTCACAGCCGTAGTAAAAGATTAAGTTCAATGCTTTCACACTTCCAACTGCAATCGTCATGCTGGTCCTAGTAACTCCTAGTATCTTAGTAAGACTAACCCTAAACCCTAAACCCTAAACCCAAACCCCGAAGTTTGGTGCTTCGCTCTGGCACTCAATCACTCCATGCCGTGCTGATTCAAGGAGAGCAGAAAGACCCAACATCCACAACTCAAAGCTACAGGGATATTTAAAAAAGAGTGGGTTTCGGGTTCAAGAGTCTTTTTTCCTGCAGTTCAGCTTGTTTTTGCCACCCTCCACTTTCGTCCCCAATGGCCTTGACCCTGAGCTGAGGATTTTGGTAGCGGTCAAAGGTTTAGGCTTGAGTAATGGTTCTTGGTATGGGGTGGGCCATACCCAGGAATCCCCAAACCCTAAACCGTGAAACCCTATTCTTCCAACCATCCCAGGAAGCCGGAGTCCGTCCGAGGCCCAAATCCACGCCCCGGCTTAACCCTAAGAACCTAAAACCCACGTTTTCGGGTTCCTTGTCCTGACTTTTTTTGCAGGTCCTTAGAGATGTAGGTTCTGTTGGGCTTGAGGTACACGCTGAGCTGAAGTTCAATCCTTAAACCCTCAACCCCTAAACCCCTCCTAAACCCTTATACCCTGAACCCTTACACCCCAAACCCTTTGGCCCCAAACCCCTAACCCCTAAACCCCCCAAAACCCTAAACCCCTAAACCCCTCAACCCCTAAACCCCTAAACCCTAAACCCCTAAACCCCTTAAGCCCTAAACCCCCTAAACCATAAACCCCTAAACCCCTAATTGGAATAGTGTTTTGGGGTTCCTTATGGCTTCGGAAAAAGGAGCTTAAAAAGAAACCCTAAGCCCCTCAACCCCCCAATCCTTCTCCTTTTCTCCGAGGAGCATGAGTCAGAACCCCTTCCAGCCCGGCCAGCGGGAGCGCACACCACAGGAGCGGGGTTTATGGTTTAGGGTTTAGG